TTAAAACTTGGAAAAGCCTACTTACGTCACCTGTGCATTCTAAACAATTGTATATGTGAAGAAGTTATCAGATGGTTCATTTAGATCAGAGGTAGGCAACCTCGGCTCTTTTATGACTCATGGACATGAAGTCCATGAGTCATAAAAGAGTCGAGGTTGCCTACCCCTGATTTAGATAAAGGCCTAAAACGTCTCTTTTCCCCCAAGAAATGTTGAAAATGAAAGGTTTCAGCTTTATTCAGCATTGCTTTGTAATCTGAGAATTCTTAATACTAATGATTTCCCAGATAAATGTGTATACATATACAATGCAATACCACATTGGCAGTTATATTAATAACTACATAAAATTGATTTTCTGCATATCAAGAAGCAAAGTTTGGCTAGGTATTATGAGAGCTGGGTCACAGTTGGAAAAAAGGAAGTCTCAAGATCAAGAAGGCAAAATAGTTTTCTTAAAAAAAGGTTCTAAAAAAAATATCTGCTAGATATATATGTATGTCATTAAGGCAGTGTCACTCTTTACATTCGGGATTAAAAAGGTAATCCAAAATGTATACAAATGCAAGCAATTTACCAGTTTGCAATTCCCTGTTCATTTTTTTATATTTGTACAATAATCTCTTCTTTTAGTTCCACGGTAGTTCTCTATAGAAAATGTGGTCTATACAGTTAATTTTAAAATCAATACATATGCAAGCAAAAAACAAACTGTTTATGATCCAAAGTGATTTATAAGGGTACAACAGCTGCTCCCTAGTGAATGTTATTTTTTAAAAAAAATATTTAAAAAGTAATAAATTGCCAAAATATCATGAAATCTTGCTTGTTTGGCATCACTAATATAGAAGTAAAAGAAAATGTGTAAATACTACAGTCCCTATGCCAACTGCATTACAATATTATGTACCTTATAAGGGTGTTGACTGAAGTCAGCAAGACATTACTAATATAAATCCAAAATTTTTGAAGAGTGATAAATAATTTGAATTTGTAATTTGAAATATTTTAACTCAGACTTGACACTACCATTCTTTCCACAACCATCTTTGTTTATCTATGAAGAGATCATGGTCCTATACACATAGTTACTACATATTACTGATGGCTATCTTCATAAGACATAGAAATGCCACTGCTGCTGTACTAATGTATATCCTGTGAAACAACTGAAACAACTGAATCATTAGAAGCAAACTATGTTTCAAAACAAAACAGGGTGGATAATAATCAATTTAAAAAAAAAAATCAGATTTTTTTTATTTAAATCAGATTTTTTGATTTAAATCATTTTTTTTATTTTTATCAAATTTATTTTAATAAAATACTTTTGGAGTAAAAATCTATCTAAAGATAGTTTTCTGTTTAAGATACATTAGTAATTTAGTTTATTCAGCATGAAATAGAGCTTAGTTATGTAGCATGAGGCTGCATATTCTGCAATATTTACATTTTTGGTAAACTCATTCAGTGAATCCAATCTTTGCAAGCTGAGTGCAGTACTGCAGGCCACTTTAGCTGACTGTGTTCAGCAGGTCAGCGGTTCAAATCTCACCGGCTCAAGGTTGACTCACCCTTCCATCCTTCCGGGGTAGGTAAAATGAGGACCCAGATTGTTGGGGGCAATGTAAATATATATATATATATATACATTGCTTACTGGTGTACACCGCTTAGAGAGTGCTTGCACTTAAAGCGGTATATAAGTCTCATAAATAAATAAATAAATAAATGCAGTGCATTATGCATTCACACAATTTCACAATAACCATGAGATAAATCATAAAACAAAGTTCAGGAATATTTCTTTATCCCATTGTTTTGCAAATCTATGTACACTACAAAATGTATGATTGAAGAGAAATGCATCTGTACTAGATTCTAAGTGTGAGGAGGAAGGGCAAGCAGTAAAAATGAAAGTGAAACCTTCTAAGCAGCTTATAAACCTTGGGATCTTTCTGCACATAGCTTGAAGTGCTTTATTCCTCCCTTGAGGAGCAAAATGGCAGCTGGCTGTAAAAGAGACCCAGTTTGGGAATATTGTAATGAAGTTTCTCTACCTATGGGTAAAGCAGGTATGCATGCAAAATGCAAGCAATGCAACAAAGAGATGCAAGGCCTGGTGGCCCAAATGAAACATCATGAGAAGGGCTGTGATGAAAGGACCATATCTGAAGAGGCAGGACCTTCAGGTTGGTAAACTGTTTTTATTTTACCATATTTTGTAGTCTGCCATGAGGTATTGTTATGCTAAAGCAATAATATATATCTGCTATTGTTACTGCATGGCACTGCATTTTTATGCAGTTGCCAAAAAAAGAAATAATGACTTGAAATATGCAAATATTCAACTCAATATTCAAATATTTGTGTGTGATTACAATGAGAAATTCACAATAGGCATACATGGTTTAAATAATAAAATAATAGCACTGACTTTTTTTGTTTAGGTTAAACCATCATCAACATAAAAGGTTCTGGAAACTATCCACTTTCTAAATTGCCATCCTCTTGTTCTACAGTTTCAGAGTTATCTCTCCAGGATAGTGCATCAGTCACATCATTTACACATATCCACAATATATCACCTAAAAGAAAGAAACCATCTGGAACCACCACCATAAATAAGTTTGTGATAAAAAGCAACAGATTAGAAAATGAGTTAATTGATGAAAAAATTGCTCAGTTTGTTTATGCAACAAACTCTTTTTTCCTTCTGCTTGAAAACCCACACTTTGTTAATATGATTCAGTCACTGAGACTAGGATACAGTCCACAAAATAGATTAGATGTTGCAGGGAAACTGCTGGATAAAGTATATGATGAAGAAATTATGCAATGTGCAATAAGTCTAGAAGGTAACATTGTTAACCTAAGTCTTGATGGCATTCAATATCCATTTATTCAGTCTATATCCTGTTTTTGCTTTTTACAATTTTAATTCCCTATCCATGTTCAAAATATCCCAATCATTTATAATTTCAAAACAAGTTATATTTGGGTAATCAAAAGTTTCCCCTATTCAAAATTCTTAACATATTCTTCTTTCCCTTTTTATACCAAGATATGATATTCTAATTACAAATCCTATCTATCTAATTATAATAATACTTCTATTTCTAACAGTCTATTCTTAACCATATTCAAACATCTAATTGATAATGTAACATCCCCTCTAACAGGTCAACGCTTCTGTTTCTTTCAGTCTTACTCTTGCTTTCTTCCTTTGCCAACTAACTTTCCAAGTCAGTACATTTGGATCATCAAATAATTCTTCCTTTATTTTTGTATATATTATTTGAATCAAGAGAAGCAATTTAGTTAAGGTATTTTTGAAAGAATTGGCCCATTGATATTCCTTAAACCAGTGGTTCTCAACCTTTTTAATGCCGCGACCCCCAACCGGTCGTAAGTCGAGGACTACTCAACCGGTCGTAAGTCGAGGACTACTCAACTGGTAGGGCACCGTTTGCAGAATGGGACTTTTGGCGGGCTCAGCAGGGCAGAGACAGCCTGGACAATTCCTATTGGCTTTTGAAAGCCAATAGAATTAGACTCTATTCAAGAGAGTCTATTCTATTGGCTTTCAAAAGCCAACAGAATAAAAGGGAGTAGCACAGCTAAGGAAAAGGGGGGGGGAAATGGCGGACTGCGTTGTTTGGCGACCCCCGTGAAATGGTTGTTCGACCCCAAATGGGGTCCCGACCCACAGGTTGAGAACCACTGCCTTAAACAGTCTCCCTCCTCCAATTCCCCACAGTTCTAGTGATGGCTTTCTCTTCCATTCCATCAGCTCTCCTTCCTTATCTTCCAGTACGTTCTCAGATCTTGGTTTGTAAAATGTCTGTTCAATTTCCAGTATTAACTCTAAAAAGCAAAAATAGGATATAGACTGAATAAATGGATATTGAATGCAAATGCAGTTAAGATATGTTTTGGTTAGAAAAGATATTTTAAACTGATATTATTGACATTTCTAGAAAAATATGATAAATATTGATAGGCAATTATATATTTCCTTACAACAATAAGAATTGTATTTGCTTAGTGTGGAAAAATGTCTATTACCACGTGAAGAGAGGAGGTATTGGAGGGTATAATATTGGATTACGTTTGAAGAAGCTTACATGTACCATGAAATTTACTAATGGACTCAGTCATTAATTAGGCACTTGACTGTAAAAATAGAAAATCAATAAAATATTTATAAAAAAGAAAACAGAACTACACACTGACAAGCAGAAATTACAAGATTTAAAAAAGCAAATGAGACAAGCACTGTCTTTAGCTCATTTTCTTGCAAACTTTGTCAATATCCGGTACCAGGATCAAACCTTAAGTGCTGAAGAAGTGGAGTTAGCCATGACATGGATATCCAGCAATCCTCCATCTCTAGTGCCAGCTATAATGAACTTCAGAGCTAAGGGGGAACCATTCAAGAAATATGTTTGCTGATGAGATTTTAAAGAAAGTTTCACCCGTGAACTGGTGGAAGTCACTTAAGCACTTGGATTCAGAAAGTGTTGAAGTAATGATTTCACTTTTAACTGCAGTGGCCTCTTCTGCTGGCATTGAAAGAATATTCTTTTCCTTTTCCTTTCCTTGTTCACTCTAAACTGAGAAATCATCTGGGGCCTGATAAAGCAGGAAAGCTTGTTTTTCTTTTCCAAATCATGAACCAACAAGAGAACGAAGATGAAAATGAGTGAGCTGCAGAAGACCGTGTTTGAAGGGTTTTTTTTAATGTGGACCTAGCTGATATATTCAGTTTCAGTTCTTTTGTTTGTTTTTTCAAAGATACTGTGTTTATGCACTTCAGTTACTAAACATTGATGTTTAAGCAAATACAAGAATATGTAATATATTATTGTTTATTAAATAAAAGCATTTGAGTAGTTCTCCAACTATGTGTGATTAACCTATTAACCTAAAATCGGTTCTGCTGTCGCTGTTTTACTAACCTGACAGCTTATTATTCTAAATAGGAAGCCTTCTTTTCGTTTGCTAATAATAATATTAAAGATTCTAACTACCAGCAAGAATGAGTCCTTACATTTAAAGAGCACCTGCATTTCAGATCCATCATGGCAGCACCTATTAGCGGGCATCCATTCACCTGCTACCCGCCATGTCCCTCACCTTGTTGCGTCACTGCCGCATCACTAGCCTTCCCATTAAAATGAATGGGACTGTCGGTGAGTCAACAGCAGGTCAGAGGAAAAGCCGCTGTGGGACAGAGATGACAGTTACTTTTTAAAAATTATGATTTAAATCGAGTTGATTTAAATCAAGCCTTTTTACTAGTGATTTAAATTGTGATTTAAATTGACTTGATTTAAATCAAATCCACCTTGAAACAAAATTTTCAATTCATGTCATACAAGAAATGCCAACTTTTTTCTACATACAAAGACTTCAAAGGTCCTAATGGTCACCAATTTTAAATCGTATTTTTAGGGGAAAGAGTATGTCAGAGTGAAGCTCTGAACCTTTACCTAAGTCCATATTCCATCAGTCAGAGTGATTGGTTTAAGTCGCAAAATGAAAAAGGCTAAAGTTGGTAACAGCAGAGTAACCTATGGTAATTACTACAAGTTAAATAGCTAGTTTGACTTGCAGAATATCCCACAATTAACTTGACGTGGAAATTGAAGCAAATTTCATTTTAATAAATATAAAGCCAAGCCTGAGAATATTCTGTAGGAGTAGCTACTACAGATATTCTAAAACAGAACTGTATTGACTTAAAGCCAGAAATTAGTGGGATTTTTTTTCCTGAGCAGCACATACCAACTTTTATTATTAAAATTAATAGAAAATTGTGTGGTGTTTATTAAATGGCATTTGTTTTGCAATCTTAAACACTAATGGCTAATAGTTCTCTAAAATAGTGATGACTAATATAGAGAGTGGTATATTGGTACTCAACTATTTTAAAAATCCTCAAATTTGATTTGAAAATTTTGTCCCAGTACTCATCGTTTGTGTAGCACTCAACGCACATGCTAGTACTTGTCGGTGTCAGCTGCCTTGTGACTCACTACACTATTATAGGACAAATTTGTTTGGTACTGATCATTTTTGGTACTCAATGTGCCTTCTGGAACCAGTATTCCCAATGAGTATTGATGTACCACTGTACATGACCTATTTCAGTTTTAACCAAATTTGTGCTGGCAATTCAAATCATAATCTGGGTCATAAATTTGTGTAATTCCCATAAATAATCTATTTTTTATCACTTGGAGATCCCAATACTTGATGGAAGTCACAGCTCAGAAACAAATTGGGACCAAATGTGGAGGGATAGGCTGCCTAAGAAAGAATTCCAAGATAGATCACATTGTGCTAAGGGTGATGAGAGTTGAAGGAGGGAGGAAGAATCTCCCAAAAATCCCCCCCATTGGATTTCTATTTCTGCAATTCTGCAACTGCAATTGGGCAAGTTGCTCAGAAAGTTGATAACGGTTCCATTCTACGCTACCACTTTAGATATTAAACCAAAGCAAACCATATGCAACTCTTTGTGTTTTCTAGTGTATTCACAGATACAACATATAAGGATAGCAGAAATACTGTATATGCATAGAAAGAAGTCTGTTCATTGCCAACAAGACAATTGTCAGCAACACTATTTAAACCAGACCAGAAATCAATTCTACAGGAAAGCTAAAACTACTTTTATTGAGATTGGCTATAACATTAAAATCTTTCAAATCTGATTGTCCTGTACCTCCTCCCACTTCTAATTCACCAGTGAATTAGGGAGGCATCTGCCTAATCTAGTTCCAAATGTTATGTCATTGCTCTGGATTTTTTTAAAAAAATGTTTCCACCCCATTTTGCCTAGATCAGTTGTCCTTTCCGGCTCTGTGGATCAGCAGTAGCAAGGAGGAGGGGTGTGTGTGCAACCTGATCCTACGCATGCGCAAATGGAGCTTTACATGCTCACCCACCGCTTGCGTGGACCGGTTCTAAACAGGCTGCTGACTGGGGAACCCTGGCCTAGATTAGTTTTTGCATATTTCCATCAAGGTCATCTTTCTTATTCTCATAACAATATAGATACTCCTTGTAATCACTTCTTGTAAAGGTGTTTGAAAGAACTGTAGAAAATATGCTCTATGTGCTTTTCCTGTCCAGTTAAATAGGAACACTGAGTATAAAAAGATTACACAAATGGAGGCACTCTTCCATAAAGCTTTGCTTTCAGTCAAGAAAAAACTACAGGCAAAGCAAGACTGAAGCCCTTTGTCGGAAATGTGCTTTACAATGAGTAGCAAGCAGAAGGATACTGGAAAAAGAAAGTTAGGAGGATGTTTTGTGCTTGGTCATTCTTGACTTAAAGCCTCCAGGAGGCAACATCTTAGACAAAATTCAGCTCCAAACATAAAAAGTGCTGGAAGAACTGGAACAAAGAAGGTAAATTTGGCAGGGAATGTTATTCTGTTGCATGATGGCTATTTATCTAAGTGATGCTTGTTTGTTTTTTCTGGATACAAATCATCTTAAATTCCCAGTCATACTCTTTTTGGGTAAATGTGATAGAAATGGAGAAAAGGAAAGGAAGGAGAGAAAAATGTGGTATAGTAATACTGGTGTGTTCCAGAAGCCTTTAGTTTTTAATTATAACTATGTATCTTAATACAGAAAGTTATCAATACTCCGCATCCAACCTTTTTAACAATTTAAATTTATTTTATTTCTGGACATCTTCAAATATAAAATTCACCTTAAATTAACTTTATTGTGTGCATTAGGAAGAATGTATTACAGGTTTGCATTCTAAAATTCCTTCTAGACCAGTCGTGGCGAACCTATGGCACGGGTGCCAGAGGCGGCACTCAGAGCCCTCTCTGTGGGCACGTGCATCGTCGCTCAGTTGTAGGCCTTCAGCTGGGTTTTACAAAACTTTTTCGCTTTAGGCCTCCACCACCGTGTGCAAAAAAAAAAAAAAAGGTTCAATCAATCTATTTCAACTTCTCACAGAAAAAAAAAGATCTTGCAAAGTTGAAATTGATTGATTGAACTTTTTAGTCCCACCCAGTCTGCTGTTACCACCACAGCCACACCCACCCAATGGGCCACACCCACCCGGCACTCAATGATACATAAGTGGGTTTTGGGTTGCAGCTTGGGCACTCGGTCTCTAAAAGGTTTGCCATCACTGTTCTAGACAAAGGGCAACAAACTGAACTTAATTCTTGAAAAAGGTTTTATCCCGAACACTATCAATCATTATGGAGTTCACTTCTAATTTAGACCACTGCTATTCTGTCAGCCAATTCGCATTCTTTTTAGCTCAGTTTCAGATAACACACAGGAAACACTATGTTCTTTATCTGAATCAAAGCATCTCTGACAAATAAGTATGCTGTTTCCACCTGAACACACCAAATGAAGGAGAGCCCACAATTTCTGATATATTTCTACTATCAAGATATACTTATTGTTAAGATTTTTTTGTTTTCTAACACTGAACTAGTATGTTTCTTTTAAATGAAAACCGTTATTTTGTGTTCTGCACTCTCTAACAAAAAATAACCTATTTTTTTCCTGTGTGAGATGTTTCAGCTATCATGTTCCCCATCTTCATTTCTCAAATTCTCCTCAAGAGATACGCATTATAGTCCCCTGATCACCTTTTCGCTGAACCAGTTCCAGTTTCTCTGAATTCTTCTTCAAATGTGGTAGAGAGAAATTAGACACAATATTCAAACTAGGGTCTGACCAAAACAAAATAAAGGGAAATATTTACTTCTTGTGGTTTGGAAACTATTACTGTTGATACAGCCTAAAATTATATTTGCCTCTTTTACAGCCATGTGATGCTATTGACACATATTCAGTTGCAATTAACCAAGTTTTTTTCACATATATTGCTAAGTATCCCTCAACATAAATGTTTTTTTTTGTGTGTGTAATTTCCTAACAGAACTTTGCACTGTTCTTTTAAATTTCGTATTTTTCAAATGTATTTATCTTATAAAATTACATTGAATTTCATTTATATTCTGCTAGGTGTTCTAATTGTGTGTCATCTGCAAATTTTATTTTCTCCATCTCTCCATTCAAGTTATTAATAGAAATTCTAAAGAGTACAGGACCCAGATAGGAACTTGTGGCTCTCAGTATTTCACAGCAATGTAATGTGAAAATACTGATAAACACTATTTAAATACTATTTTCAAGCTAGATGTCTACCATTCAATTACCATGAATTCAACCCACACTTAACTTGTTAACTGGAATATCATTGGATGCTTTATCAAATATTTGACTAAACTTAAAAAAATAAGTTTAGTTTGGCAAGGCTTGTTCTTGACAAATCCAAATCTTTACTACCTGCAGCTGCTAGCCATATTACATATTTTCTTTTCTTTGATTTTGAAGATTTATTTTTAGTATCCTTCCTTGGCTCATCTTGAACATTGATGGTCTTAGTTCTATGCTACCTGCATGTAGCTTTTTTAGTGTTCTGGCACTCTTTCTATATCCTCATTCTTGTTAGAACAATCTAGCTATATTTTTCCCTGATTTTTCCTATATTGGAATTATAAGCAAATATACATTTAGTATCTTTTAAAAAAAACTCTTCCTTCTGAACTTACTAAAGTCAGCTTTTTGAAGCCCAATACACTCATATTTAATTTCCTTTAAATCAATTACACCTTAGACCAAATAGTCTCCCAGATGTAAAGTAGTCATCAAAATAAAACCCTATAATTTAAGGACTGAACCATGCAACATTATTTTAATGTACACTCAGAACAACTGCTTTGAACGATTTTGGGGATCCAATGCAGCTGTCCTTCTATCTTTTATTGATTCAAATTCATCAACAGGGATTCAGATCCTGTAAAACAAAAATAATTCCAACTTGGTGTTCCCCCACCCACTGCTTTGTATCATATTCTTAGCTATACCATTTGTTTGAGGATTAACATTTAAGTAATACCAAAGTTCTCTTTCTCATTTGAAATTTTATTTATAGTTAATACTTTGACTGGGATACTGATTCAATGATTTACTACTAATAAAAGTTTGAAAAAATAATTTTTTTCTAAAACTTATTTTGCTATTTTAATTTGCTATTTATTCAATATATATTCAGTGTTCAATATACTATTCTGATGGGAAATGGCCATAGAGAATGATTTCTTCAATGATGTACCAAGCTTGCTATGCTGTAACAACTATGCTATTGAATAAAAAACAAATTGAAT